GGCCAGACCAGTGAGTTCAGCGTTCAGTGTCGACTCGATGTGTTTAGCATTCTTATTGGCACAAAATATTGCTGTGTCGTCCGCATATAGGCATACCTTACATGTGGTGACAGCTTCAGGCAAGTCATTTATGAATATATTGAAAAGTAGAGGGCCCAATATGGAACCCTGCGGCACTCCCAGTGTAACAGGTAAGTAATCTGATTGAATACCATTCAGAGAAACAATTTGTTGTCTGTCTGACAGGTAGTTTGAGAACCAGTGAAGCTCCTTACCCTGTATTCCTATCCATGACAGTTTCATTAGCAATAGTCTGTGGTGTACTGTGTCGAAAGCCTTTTTTAGATCCAGGAATACTGCCCCCACGAGGTTACCCTTGTCCATGTTGTGAAGTACGTGATCCTTAGCATCTAGTAGTACTAGCACATGTACACACCGATATTATCTATCTATGTATGGCGTTAGTGAGTTGTTAAACCAAGGACATTCTACAAACTGATGCACTCCTGTACCGCGCTGACAACTGATCACTTGTGTCTGTGCGCCACTGCTACTAGTATTCCAGACAAGCGTACGTGTAACAGTACTGTATCTGTACCATTTTCTACTCTTCTACTCTTTCCAGCCGCCTCCCGAAGCCTGGTAGAGGCTAGACATCGTAAACAGCCGCTCTGAGGCTCACACCGGCGAACTCGCTGTCACCAAGTACAGTAGCTATAGGGGCAGTGTCATTAGATAGCTTTAAACAGTGCCAAGGGTTAGGTGTAACAAGTCGATCGGTGTAATATAGCCAGCTGCCGCCGCGCCGCGTGCCTGCGAAGCTGGTGTGTTACGCCGAAGGACGGTTATACCGGCTATACAGATGCAGATACAGATTTCTACCATTATTTACCCTGCACAGAAGCCTGTTGGAGGCTAACACCGTGAACCCGCACCTGTCGGACAGATTAGACATCGTAAACAGCCGCTCTGAGCCTCACACCGGCGATTACACCCCCGGAAATAAATCGGCCGTCCGTCCGGGTGATTTTCCGGGCCCGTCGCCCCGAGAAGAGTAATATCGCCGGCGGCTCGCTGACTCCATTCTCGGGGCATAAAAGAGCAACTCCTGCCGATTACTCCGGATCCGCCAATTCCCACTGCACCGGGGGTGATCACTTCTACAGTCCACACGTTATACAGGAGGGCATCAGTGTAACAACTCACTAACGCCACAGATAGGTACTGTACTAGTGTATGTACGCTAGTCTGGAACAGCAAGGCAGGCGCGCACAGCCACTGCACCGGGGGTGATCAGTTGTAAAGTCCACACGTTATACAGGAGGGCATCAGTGTAACAACTCACTAACGCCAGGGATAGATACATGGAACAACTCACTACCGGTACACTACATGTACGCTAGCTCGTAAGGCATGCAGGCACGCACAGCCACTGCACCGGGGATGATCAGTTCTAAAGTCCACAGCGCGGTACAGGAGTGCATCAGTGTAACAACTCACTAACGCCACAGATAGATACATGTAACAACTGACTACCGGCACAGATACATACTAGTACATGTACGCTCGTCTGAAAAAAAGGCAGGCGCGCACAGCTATCGCAGGTGATCACTTCTACAGTCCACAGCGCGGTACAGAAGGGCATCAGTGTAACAACTCACTAACGCCACAGATAGATACATGTAACAACTCACTAATGGTGCAGATACAGTACTGGTGCACGTACTCTTGTCTGTAAGAAAAGGCAGTTACGCACAGCCACAAGTGATCAGTTCTTAAGTCCACAACACGGTACAGGAGTGCATCAGTTCAAAAAAGAGAAACCCAGATAAAAAGCCTAAAACACGCGTTATGTAGCCTCCATTCCATAGCATGCCAAAAACTGGGGGGGGGGGTCTTCATGGTCTTTGGGATCTTTTATGTGGTATTTTCTGATTGCATATAGAGAACATAGCCGGCCTGGTTGAATTACCCCGTTTTTTTAGAACTGGGCTAATCAGAAAACAGCCGAAGACCACCAAACCCCCAGTTCTATAAGCCTGCTACGGAGGCTAATCAGAAAACAGCCGAAGACCACCAAACCCCCAGTTCTATAAGCCTGCTACGGAGGCTAGGCGTTATGAACGTTCCCTGGTTATAATAAGTGCGGCGGAGGCTGCCGGAATATTACGCTTTTCAATTTTTGAAAGGGTCAGAAGCGCGGCGACCTGTTTCTCCTGATTAATCGGGCTCTCCAGAAAAAAAAAACCGGCCGATGATTAAGTCCGCTCCTGTCGGAAACCAAAACCGAGAAACTTTCCGCGGAAGACTTTTACGATTTTCTTCTCCAACTTCTCCCCGCAATACAACAAAGATAGAGGGAAGGAGGGATGGAGAAATGGATGATGGCAGTAATGAGGGTTGATAGATCGGAGAGCGGATGAGGTACCGTGTAGCAGGAGCCAGGCGGCGGGAGGGTGATTAGGTTTTCCGGGCTGACACGCGGCCCGGCCCTAGCCTCCGTAGCAGGCTTATAAAACTGGGGGTTTGGTTTGGCGGTCTTCGGCTGTTTTCTGATACAAAAAAACGGGGGTAATTCACTCAGGTCGGCTATGTTTACTCTCCAAGCAGAGGTTTGCGTTTGGGGTTATTTTTGGCATGTCTTCATGCTTTTTTATCGGGGTTTTCTCTTTTGCACTGGGATTTTTTCCTCACCCAAACCTCTGCTTGGAGGGTAGGCTATGTTGTCTACATACAATCAGAAAATAGCACATAAAAGCTCCCAAAGACCCTGAAGACCCCCAAAACCCCCAGATTTTGGCGTGCTGTTGAGGCTAGGTGATTAGGTTCCGCGGCTGACAAGCGGCCCGATCAGCCCAGTTCATAAAAGCTCCCAAAGACCCCCAAAAAACCCAGGCTACAAAACCCCCCGTTTTTGGCGCGCTATGGAGGCTAGGTGATTAGGTTCCGCGGCTGACACCCGGCCCGATCAGCCCAGTTCATAAAAGCTCCCAAAGACCCCCCCAAACCCCAAAAAAACCCAGGCTACAAAACCCCCAGTTTCTGGCGTGCTGTGGAGGCTAGGTGATTAGGTTCCGGGGCTGACACGCGGCCCGGCCGTGCCATCGGGAATCGATCGGCGTGTAATTATGGGACATCAATTATTGCACGGTTATTAAAACACAATCAATTAACCCGACCCCGCTGCACCCGGGCAAACCGTGTCGGGGGGGGGGTGATGATCAGCGCGTTATGGATGGGCTGGAAGCTGTTACAGAGATGGGTTAGGGCCAAATGGAAACAATGTAGCGATTCTATTGGTGTTACCGAGCTGTAGAAGTTGTTACAGGTTTCAGTTGTTACAGCGCTGATTTCAGTTGTCACAGCGCTGATTTCAGTTGTCACAGCGCTGATTTCAGTTGTCACAGCGCTGATTTCAGTTGTCACAGCGCTGATTTATTAAAACACAATCAATTAACCCGACCCCGCTGCACCCGGGCAAACCGTGTCAGGGGGGGTGATGATCACCGAGTTATGTGTGGGCCTGAAGTTGTTACACCGCTGATTTAGGGCCAAATGGAAACAACGTTGCCTTTTCAACGGTGTGGGAAGCTGTTACAGGGCCAAATGGAAACAATGTTGCCTTTCTCATTGTGTAAGCGAGCTGTGGAGTTGTTACACCGCTGATTTAGGGGGGGAATTAGGGCCAAATGGAAACAATGTAGCTTTTCTCATTGTGTAAGCGAGCTGTGGACTTGATTTTAAGTTGTTACAGCGCTAATTTAGGGCGAAATGGAAACAGTGTAGCATTTCTGGTGGTGTGGAAGTTGTTATAGCGCTGATTGAAGTTGTTACAATGCTGATTTAGGGCGAAATGGAAACAATGTAGCATTTATATACTAGCATTTATATTGGTGTTACCGAGCTGTGGAGGTTGTCACAGTGCTGATTTGAAGTTGTCACAGCGCTGATTTGAAGTTGTCACAGCGCTGATTTGAAGTTGTTACAGCGCTGATTTGAAGTTGTTACAGCGCTGATTTGAAGTTGTTACAGCGCTGATTTGAAGTTGTTACAGCGCTGATTTGAAGTTGTTACAGCGCTGATTTAGGGCAGAATGGAAACAATGTAGCATTTCTAAAGGCACGGAAGTTGATCTTCAGATCTGTCTCTAACCAAACATGAGATCCAGAGATCCACCCATCTGTCCTTTTTGATCAAACATGTGATCCGGATCCGTCGCCCCTGGTTACCCCGCCCTGCTGAAACCCGAGAAGGCGGCCGGCGGTAATGTGAGCCGTGTCCGCCATGATGGATGACGTGTCAACCGGGTTGCTGGAGCGTCAGCGGAGCGAACAGACCCCGACCCGGGAGGGGGGGGGGGTGGCTTCCGTGATGTCCTAGTCTCCACAGCACGCCAAAAACTGGGGGTTTTGGGGGTCTTCGGGAGCTTTTATGTGCTATTTTCTGATTGCATATAGACAACATAGCCGGCCTGGTTGAATTACCCCCGTTTTTAGAACTGGGCTAATCAGAAAACAGCCGAAGACCACCAAACCCCCAGTTCTATAAGCCTGCTACGGAGGCTAATCAGAAAACAGCCAAAGACCCCCAAACCCCCAGTTCTATAAGCCTGATACGGTGGCTAGGGTGGGGGAGGAAAATAAAAACTTCCGTGATCTCCAAGCATATATGTCAGGGCTCTCCCCAAGCATACCTCAATTGGTAGAGTGCTCGCTTTGTAACCGGGAGGTCGTGAGTTCAAACCCCGGCCGGGTCATACCAAAGACTTTAAAAATAGTACACACTTCTTTCTCTGCTTAGCACTCAGCACATATGAGAAAGAGTGTGGGAAGGTCAAACACACAGCACTACCAGCGGACTAGCCCCCTGCTGTAGTGCCTTGCACAACTGTGTGTCGCCCAAGGGCTACGAAATGGAGATGGGCACCACCCCTATGCTCTGAATAGAGCACGGGAGACGAACTGGGTGTTGGAAAATAAAATAAAAACATGGCTGAAGCATAAGAATATAGCAGCATTTATTCCATTTACGTGAATATAAATAGCACTACATACTGTACAGGTTTTCAATAGTTGATATTTGTAGAGGGCAACTTTTCCTGTGTATGTACAAACATTTTCTTTCAATGCAACTGTAACTGACTTTTCGCTGCAGTACAATATGGCTATGTATGGGCGTTCTGCTAACCTTTCATGCACATATTCTGTCATTCGCCCATTTCCCCACCGTCCCCTTTCACACCCTCACTTCCCAACACCCGATTTCTACCCACTGATTGGTTACAGACTGACCAATCACATGACACCATGGCCTTTCTAATCTTTCCATTTTTTCTTCATATTCATTTTGAAACTTTCCTTTTTCACTCTCAGCACTTCTAATCCTGGCAGTGAAGCTGATATATAATGTTACATTGTGTGTTAATGATATATACATACATACAATAACATACACCTTAACTGTTTATCCTACTGTACAACATAACGCAACACTGTGATTCTCATCATCATCTCAGTCCTTCTTCTGCAGATTTCATTTCTTAGAACTGGAGTGGAGACCTTGTGGGCCCTGTCTTGAAGAAAAACTTCATGTCTTGGAGGAAAGGGTTCATGTCTTGGAGGGCTTAGGTCAAAGAAGTGAGTCCATGTCTTGAAGAAAATACTAGTAAATTTGTGTCTTGGAAGAAGAGGGTTCATGTCTTGAAGAAAAGGTTACAGGTCTGAAAACAAGGGTTCATGTCTTGACGAAAGGGGTCATATCTTGAAAAGGGTTTGTGCTTTTAAAGTTTCATGTCTCAAAGAAAAAAGTTCACGTCTCGAAAATGAGAGTTCACCTCTTGAAAAAAAGAGTTCATGTCATGAATTTTGTGTTGAACGTTTGAAAACGAGGGTTCATGTCTAGAAGAAAATTTGTGTCTCGAAGAAAAGAGCTCATGTCCCGAAGACAAGGCTTCACCTCTTGTAGAACAAAGTTCATGACTTGAGGAATCCTCACTTCTTGATCTGTCTTGAGAAAGACATCCTGTGCACGCTGAAGGAGCTGATCGTGATCCCGAGAAGCGTCAGGAGGACCGCCGACTGGTTCACCAACACGTCTGCTCTCTCTGCCGTCCGCTCTCCTGACCTTGAACGGGCCTGAAGGTCAAACACATGGTTGTAATATGTTAGTGAAGGGCAAAATGTGGGGTCGTGTGGCGCAACGGCAGCGTGCGCGACTCAGAATCAAGAGGTCCTGGGTTCGAGTCCTGGCATGCCACCGATCTTGTGCCCTTGGGAAAGGCACTTTACCCGATTTTCCCCACTAGATTTAAGTGAAAATGAGTATTGTCTGTCCAGTATTTGTTTCTATGTGCGGGACACAACACCAGCAACAGCTGCCTCTGTTCCGCGTGTATTGCATTGTTGCAATTTCAATAAATCAAATCAAATCTAAGACTGAAAGTCTGAAACCTGAAAGTGAAAATGCAAATGTTTCTCACCTGTTGGAGTCGCTGGTACATGTGTCTGGTTATTCTGGCCACTACCATTGTTGTGCGAAGGGGTGGGCAGGATCACCTGGAAAACACAAGACAGCAAATGTCATACATTGTATTCATGTACACACGATATAACAGAACGCACTGCTTTCATTGCTTATCCAGTTACAGGGCGCAAAATAATTTTCAGAATTTAAGACATGAAACTATAATGTATCCATGAAACTTAAAAACCGACCAACCAATAGACAGACAGACAGACAGACCAACAGACAGACCAACAGGCAGACAGTAAGTTTCAAAACTTACTCTCCGAGTATGCATGCTCGTATCAGTAAGGGTGTAAAAATTATTTACGGAATACAAAATTCTCATTCTTCACATGACACATCAGTTTCTAGCAGGGAGGTCGGAAAACAGATCCTGTCTGTCCTTTTGGTACGTCGGAATCTGGACTGCCTCTCATAAACTGGTACATGTAGCTTATAGAACTGTGGGTTTGGTGGTCTTCGGCTGTTTTCTGATTAGCCCAGTTCTAAAAAACGGGTGTAATTCAACCAGGCCGGCTATGCTGTTTATATGCAATCAGAAAATAGCACATAAAAGCTCCCAAAGACCCTGAAGACCCCCCAAACCCACAGTTTTTGGCATGCTGTGGAGGCTACGATACTGTCTGTCCTTTTGGTACGTCGGAATCCGAACTCCCGCTCACAAACTGCACGAGTTAGATTTATTACCCCAAGGCAGGATAAGCCATTAATCCGGGGCTAATCCGGGGCTAATCCCTGCACCTGTCTGTACACCTCCCCGCCCATCCAACCACGGTCAAACATGGGATAATCCCTTAATCCTGACCAGATTACCGAAACCCGATTACCGGGGATTAACATTTTATTGCGTGCGCGTAGGGGGCAGACTGTATATGTCGGACGTTCGGTCCTTTCGCGGAGAACTCGCCGCAACTTTCTCACCATCGGTCACCGCTAAACTAACAGGAAGCACGGACCGCGGATCAGAGGGAATTATGGGATTACACCCGTCGTCAGATCGAACCTAACCCGGCGGTTGTCAAGGTTACGATATCGCCAAGGTTACGATGATTATGGGTCGTTTGGAAACATACCAAGTCTGTTCTGGGAAGCTGTTTCATGAAACTATACTAAGGCTCACTTTAGACTAGAAACACTTAAATGAAACCTGCATTTCCCCTCTGGTCTCTTAGTCACTGATGAAAGCTAGTGGATACTAGCTGAACGTCTGACCGTCCAAACTATCGCAGAGTGGAACTTGCTGTCACCAAGTACAGTAGCATTGTCAACGGATAGCTTTAAACAACATCTAGAGCTAGAAGTTCAATGGTTAGGTGTAACAAGTCGATCGGTGTAATATAGCCAGCTGCCGCCGCGCCGTGTGCCTGCGAAGCTGGTGTGTTATGCCGAAGGGCAGTTATACCGGCTATACTGATACAGATACAGATAGGCAACTGTTTCATGAAACTATACTTGGAATGGAACATAGTGCTATTATTCAACACCAGGGAGAGTACTTTACCCGACTGTACGTATACTATTGACGTATTTTTTTATTCCTGTCATTGTGTGTATTTTTTATCTGTATGTTTTAAATTTATATGGGCGAGTTATGCACTTTCCTATTCGCGGTTACTTCTGTAACGTGAATTTATTATTACCCAGAAGTCAGAACAAATAATTTGCCGACTTTCTTTCTTCTGCACCTGCCACCACTGCCAATATATACTGTAGGTCTGACAACGTGTCCATTTTTCTTAGACTGCCAAATTTTGCTATATGAAGTGATTTACAGTATGCAGGGTTCTAGCTAGGATTTAATTTTAGCGTAGTGGTACTGGCCGCATGTCAAGGGAGCAAAGCGACCGAGAGGGGGGATGGGGCAGAGCTTTTAAAAAGTTGAGCGAAAAAAGGGGCCATTTGAGGGATACCCAAAGGGAAAAAAAGTTATTTCTAAGGTATATACAATATATCCTTGATTGGTAATTTTTCACATTTGATCTGGCATTCTTGAACAAAGAAATAGTCTCAATGCCCCTATGCTGTATTGAAAATTTAGCGTAGGGGGTCAAAATTATAGCGTAGGGAGGGGGGAAATCTAGCATAGGGGGAAAATTTTAGCGTAGGGGGGCCCTATGCTACTTTGCGCTAGCTAGAACACTGGTGTGAAGTATTGCTTTACAGACTAGAAGGGACTTTTAAAGCAGTATGGGTAAGGAGCTGAAGTCTGCCATCTCTGACTGCCTTGTGTGTGGGGGTAAGGGGCTGAAGTCTGCCATCTCTGACTGCCTTGTGTGTGGGGGTAAGGGGCTGAAGTCTGCCATCTCTGACTGCCTTGTGTGTGGGGGTAAGGGGCTGAAGTCTGCCATCTCTGACTGCCTTGCTTTCAACCTACAGAAGATCTGCATTGGCCTTTCAGTCTGCTACTACTGCCCCCTTGTGGCGGCTATACTAACTGCAGGTTCCCAACCAGAGCTGGCTGTCATGATACAGTTACTCCTCCTGGTGGCCACTTTTTCAAACTGCACCTTAATGGACCTATACCATTATTACTCCACAGTTTGTTTACCGCAATGAATGCCGGTCAATTGACGTTTATATTGTACAGGGGTGCGTAGCGCGGTGTGTGTTTGTGTAGCGTTAGCCTAATATAAGGCTTTTAATACAGTACTACTTTCATCTAATGTCACAACTAAATCAACCATGCGGCATGTAATGCTGTGTCAACACAACGAGACGCAGCAAAAAATCAGACATACCTTACTTTGAAAACTTGCCGACCCCAGGCCTTAATTTTGAGTGCACCCCTGCAAGGGACATAATTTATTTTTTGAGCTGAACAACCTTTCTAGCTCCGAGACCTGACATGATGTGAGTGACGAAACATTCTACTACTATCAGTTTTCCAACACTGACCGTAAGTGACCGTAAAAAAAAGGATACTGCCGATACATCTTGTTACCACAATCCTATTGCAAATGTACCAGACAAGAACAGAAATACTGGCCATAGACTTCCCTGTGTATACATGTATGTTGGGACCACAGAAATGCACTCAAACACAAATACACGGACACAGGCACACACAGACATACAGATACACGCACACAGAAACACATCATGAATGCAAACACACACGCAAGCACGCACACATGCACACACACACACACACACACACACACACACATACATGCTGATACACACACACACTGTTTGAAGTTTTAATAGATATCCATTAGATTAGACATCAAATCTAATCTGTTCTTCCTGGATTCATAAAACACAGAGTACACAAATGTAATTATAAATTAAGGCACATAACCAAGTTTAAATCTCCTTGAAATAACATAACACTTGCATCCATTAGACTACAACTAGCATGCATAACTGACAGTCACACACACACACACACACACACACTTACACACACATACACTTACACACACACACACACACACACACACACACACGCACACTTACACACACATACACTTACACACACACTCTCTCACACACACACACACACACACGCACACTTACACACACATACACTTACACACACACTCTCTCACACACACACACACACACACACACACTCACAGACACACACACATGCACTCACACACACACACACAACACACACACACACACACACACACACACAGAGACACACACACACACACACACAACCACATCTAAGGATACAAACAGTCAAGACCACACGCACAAAAACACATACATGTAACAATTTCGGACATTTGACGCCACAATATTTCAGCTGCTAACAAACAAGCAGCATCTATGTGGTGTGTGTGTGGGGGGGGGAGGGGGGCACACCGGTAACACATACTAGAACGTTCAGGCACCCTACACGACCAACTGTGCGCCACAACCTCACACAAACTACAGAATAACCAACCTTGCAGTGCGTAGACAGGTCTGGGGTCCTGTTTTCTCGCAGATTCCGGCTGCGTTGTCTGTATTTGGGTCGCTCAAAATGTAGACGCTGCGACGTGCGACCCAATTTCGTCTGGTAAAACGTGTTTTGACACATGTCGTCCAAAAGGGGTGGTTCGACTACAAATTTATTTTTAAAATTAAAAAATACAGATAAAATGAAACTACATATCTGTACTAAATACGAAAATCTGCAAACTAAACACACATATTGCTAAATTGTTCTTTTGAAATGGAGCAAAGTTAGCGTACGAAAAATGTTTGTAATGGGCACTCCCCGTTTGCAAATGGTTTCGCCTAATGTACATATGCAAATCGGCACATGCAGACGGCGGTGGTGGGGTCAATGACCTAGTTTGGGACGGGGTGAACGACCTCTGATTGAGGCCAACAGCACAAGAAAACAACATTGCGAGTGGTTTGACCGCGTTTTACCTTTACACAGAGCGCCCAAGCCTAAACTTGGCCTTGAAACAGGCGTTATTTTTACCGCAGCATCGAAAATATAGTCAAGTCAATCTTTATTGCACAGCAATTGTAACGGGTACAATGCATGGCAAACTCTTCAGTAACGTTACTATATATCTAGCTAACATCTACTCTCACGTCTACAGTAATACCTACAAGTTCTATGTATCGAAAATAACATTATACTATTTCAAAAAGGTAATGTAGTAATTTAGACAGAAGGGAAGGAGTTTAGAGATTTTGTTTATTTGTTTGCTTGTTGTTTCTTATAGCGTCATTTTTTGATGCTCGTTTTTGTGTTTTAGTTTTTTTTCATATCATTTACTAAAAGAAACGTTGACAAACGTTCTAAAGCGTCGGCAAAATATAATGTTATTGTCACATGTATTATATATATATCTGGGAAATTCACCTTTCACCCAGTGGGCGTTCACTGATGCTAAAGCACTGAAGTCAAGATTCAGACCAAACAGTTTGGCTTGACATTCATTCCCTATAATTTTATCTTTCATATTTTATCAGAAACAAAAGTCTGACGCTTGTTACGTTATTAAGGTGGTCGGGTTGAAACGCAGAACGTTGACATTATGAGGAAAGCGTAACGTGCTACCTGACGTCAAATGTACTACTTGGGTAATCAGGCAGACAACTTCACCTTTCACCCAGATCACGTTCACCTCTGACCTCACGAGACGACAGAAGGACTTACATTAAAAGAATTCGAGAAAAACCATCATAGGAAGCAGGTAAGGCTTAGAAACGGGCAGAAAAGTATTCTGATGTCGAGGGGAATAACTTGGGACGATTTCTGTGAAAGAAGCATCGTACTAGGACGAAAATTTGCGGGCATTTTCGGGATGTGAATATCGTAGAATTAAAGGGGGAGGGGGGCGAAACCTAACATACGTTTGACCCTCGCCACTTACATGTACGTCATGCTGCATCAGGCATAGTGACCTTTTTTGAGGGCGTTGAATAACGTAGAAATGTTAACTGGATTGTAAAGAATCGCATAAGGCGTACATTACAAAAATTTTGGCCGATTTCTACTCTTTCCAGTCGCCTCCCAAAGCCTGGTAGAGGCAAATACATTAGGTTGAAATTGTAAAGCTTGGTCAAATTAGAACTCTTGAAACCTTGTTTTGTAAGAACCCAACTTTATCATTGACAGCTTTTAACGCTTAATCTGTAGAATTAAGTACAATTTCTTCATTTTTTCATTAGGCTAAACATGGCAACGGCAGAACAAGGGTCTCCCACCGGAGTTGGTCAGAACTGCTGTGATGGGTCTCCCATTGGAGTTTTTCAGGTCGACTGTGACAGCAAAACAAGCAATGCTCAACATCAGGCGGCAGCACAAGTCAACTTGGATAACGCTGGTGAGAAACCCTACATGTGTGGGGAGTGTGGGTACAGGGCAGCTTACAAGTCTACCTTATCCCAACACATGAGAACCCATACAGGAGAGAAACCCTACAAGTGTGACCAGTGCGACTATTCTGCAGCACAGAAATTTGCTTTGGACAAACATAAAGCAAAACACACTGGTGAGAAACCCTACATGTGTGGGGAGTGTGGGTACAGGACAGCTCAAAAGTCTGCCTTATCTCAACATATGAGAACCCATACAGGAGAAAAACCCTACAAGTGTGACCAGTGTGACTATTCTGCAGCATACAAAACTGCATTCGACCTACATCTAGCAAAACACACCGGTGAGAAACCCTACATGTGTGGGGAGTGTGGGTACAGGACCACTTACCGGTTTTCCTTAGCCAAACACATGAAAGGCCATACAGAAGAAAAACCCTACAAGTGTGACCAGTGTAGCTTCTCTGCGGCCTCTAAGTCTTCCCTAACTCGACATAAAAGAATTCACACGGAGGCACCAAGTCTGCAACTGTGACCATCTTGTTGTGACGTTCCCCTCACTCTAGTTTCTCTATCTGGAGGCCAAGGACATATCACAGTAATGGCCAAAACATTAAGGCTAGATATGCCGTAGCAGAATGGATAAAATTTGCCAATATGCCAAGTCTTTTACTGAGGAAATGTCATAGTCATATACTAGTACTTTATCCACAACATTTCCTATCACTGTATAACTATGGAATAATTCTTAGTCAACCTTTAAATGTAAATTATTTAGAACATTACACCGTCATCTTTCTGTACATATCTAGAATTGTAGTTGGGAACAGAAAACTTGCTAGTATTGATTGGATAATGTACATATACAGTAATTAACATCTGTAAGTGATTGTAAACAGTAGTTGAAAGGTAGAAGTTAATGTTGAGTTTGTTTGAAATGAAGCCATTGAAGAAGCTTCGATTTCTTGTTAATACTTTGTACATATGTACTTCACTTTGTCTAAGTGTTTGCCTGTATGTCTTACAGACACAATTATATATTATTTTTTACTAATTTGACTCCGTAAACTAGCATTTGGTTTGCAGTATAGTGAGTGATGTGCTTCAGTTTCCAATAGTAGGAAGTGTTTTACAGTTGTGAAAATGTAGGCGTTTTGTTGTATACGAGTAAAAGTTCCTGTTTGTTTTGCATTACTTTTAGAAGATGTATCTATAGAAATTTTCCGTTTACACAATTAAATCGTTATGTACCTTGAACATGATGTTTCCTTCTGTGTTGCTTTTTTTCCTTGGATGGAATATTGTCAGAGGTGGTGAGTTGATCATAAAACACAGAAATCAAGATTCAGACCAAACAGTTTGGCTTGACATTTATTCCCCTAAATTATCTCTTTTAAAGCAGATCAGAAACAAAAGTTAGGCGCTTGTTACGTTGTAAGGTGGTCGGTTTGAAACGCAGAACGTTGACATTATGAGGAGAACGTAACGTGTCAACTGACATCAAATGTACTACATGGGTAATCAGGTCGACAATTTCACCCTTGACCCAGATCGCGTTCACCTCTGACCTCACGAGACGACGGAAGGACAAAGCTGTCCGAGTTCCTGTTTACGTGAAGAGAAAAACCGTCATAGGAAGCAGGTAAGGCTTAGAAACGGGCAGAAAAGTATTCTAATGTTGAGGGGAATAGTTTGAGCCCATTTCTGTGGAAGAATAACCGCAGTAGGACGATAATTTGTAGACATTTTCTGGATGTGAATATCGTTGAATTAAAAGGGGAGGGGGGCGAAATCACACATACTAGTACGTCGACCCTGACTACATGCATGTACGTCATGCTGCATCAGGCAAAGTGGCCTTTTTAGAGTACGTGAAATTATACGGAAATGTTAATTGTATTGTAATGAATCGCACAATTCGTACATTACAAAATCTAGAAACGCGTAGAACTGATTTGTAAAAATAGTAAATAGAGAAGCCTGGTGACCAAACCTATAGGCTATACTGCCTACTCTCTTTCCAGCCTAGCGAATGGAGTCATTTTACCCATTGTTCGTAGTCGTAGAAGTAATGAATAATATGATATGAAATGTTTGAAATGAGTTCAGGAGTTTGAGATCTCAATAATTTTTTTGAAGCATTATAGAAGCAAATCTTTTCAAATGCGAGAAAGACAACACGTTAGAATTATATTGGGTTACGTTGTTATATATTAGGTTGATAGTGTAGAGCTTGCTAAAGTCGGAACTCTTTTTAAACATTTTTCTAAAAAGCCAATTTTATTATTGACAGCATTTAAAGCTTGATCTTTTTCATTTCATTTTTTTGTTAGGCTGAACATGGCAATGGCAGGACACGGGTCTCCCACCAGAGTTGGTCAGAACTGCTGTGATGGGTCTCCCATCGGGGTTTCCCAGGTCGACTGTGACAGCAAAACAAGCAATGCTGAATATCAGGGGACAGCACAAGTCAACTTGAATAACGCTGGTGAGAAACCCTACAAGTGTGACCAGTGTGACTATTCTGCAGCAGAGAAATCCAATTTAGACAAACATCTAGCAACACACACCGGTGAGAAACCCTACATGTGTGGGGAGTGTGGGTACAGGACAACTCAGAAATCCACCTTATCCCGACATATGAGAACCCATACAGGAGAAAAACCCTACAAGTGTGACCAGTGTGACTATTCTGCAGCAAGGAAATCCCACTTGGACATTCATCTAGCAAAACACACTGGTGACCAACCCTACATTTGTGGGGAGTGTGGGTACAGGACAGCTAAAAAGTCCCACTTATCCCAACATATGAGAAGTCATACAGGAGAAAAACCCTACAAATGTGACCAGTGGGACTATTCTGCAGCAGAGAAATCCAATTTGGACAGACATGTACGAAAACACACCGGTGAGAAACC